AGCCAGCAAGATTCCAAACCACCATTAATGGCTCACACTTTGCATAATTACAATAGGCCCTCAGAGTTATATTTCATAGTGCCATTTTCCGATACAAGAGTGATAAATTTATACAAATAGGATGACCACACTCAATAGATTATAAGCTTTGTAATGATACCTTACAAGAGACCTTTTGCAAGAAGCATATTTTAGTTACATTATATTCACACTCTTCAGAATACTTTCATAAAATCATATAGCGTGCAATGTCACACCAGGCATAATAATAACCACACCTGCACGTGTGTCCCCTCCTCAGTGTCCTCACTACTCTGGAGCATTCTTTGGGCTTAGGTCAGAGTTCTTTAGGGTAGCCAGGATCTCCCTCCTGCAAGTCATAGTTTCTCCTTCAACGCACGGAGTTTGTCAAACTTACTTTGACCATGGCTGATTGTGCAGTATGAAAAGGTCCTCTCAGCTATGAAAATAACCTCTGTTGTTCCTTTCTCTTGACACAAGCTTCCTTTTATCTCTCTGACCGGCCCAGTCTCTGTGTTTGTAAAGGGCTTTACCCTCACCTCCTCTTTGTTCTCACGCCAAACCTCTTCCCTGCAGACACACTGGGTCAAACTGGTTTCCCTAGACTTCAGCCATCCCATTGTCCTAAGGTTCTCCAATATGAATGGGAGCAATTTATGTTAATGACTCGCCATTGTCCCTGGATTGGGAGAGACAAGCTACCAGGCCGGATAGCATAGATTCCCACACCCACTGAGGAATTCAGTGATACAGCAATTTCATAAAATCATCCAGACTTCATATGTTGTACATAGATTCTCCAATTTTCCACACTTTACATAAAGAACTATTATTATTAATAATTGAAAACAAATAAAAATGTAACCCTTCTGCCAGTTGGAGTGGGCAGCAAGAAGAGGTGGGTTCAATATTTAGGGGGTTCCTTTTCAACAATATAACCAGAACCAGCTTGAGCCCACACCCAGTAACCTGGGAAAATTTCACTCTACTCTCTGGACACCTCTAAGAGGCAATTCTTCCCCTCTTGCAAGCGGTATTCATAAAGATAAAAGCACGAGCAAGACACCCTCCCCAGAGTACGCTGACGCATCTGCATGAATTCTCCTCCCGCGGGGGGGGTGTGTGTGTGTGTGTGTGGGTGTGTGTGTGGGTGTGTGTGTGTGTGTCACCATGCTCCCTCCACTGCTTGCCACCTTCCCTTTCTGCTGTGAGCTCTGCCACTCAGTCACTTAGTGATTTTCATCTCTAGGCAGAATACGTCCTACCACAAGTGATTTCAGCTCTCAGTGATTGTCAGCTCTGGGCAGAAATACAGTCCCACTGTGACATTGCACTCCATATGCTTTATGAAAATATGCTTATGAATGTGAATATGATGTAACTGGAATATGCTTTATACAAAAGGTCTCTTGTAAAGTATCATTACAAAGCTTATAATCTACTGAGTGTGTTCAGCCTATTTGTTTGCATGTGTTATTTCTGTGTCTGGAGTTAGGATAATAAGATATAAACTTGTGTTACTGATGTAAACATATTTAGTGGAAGTCATTAAGGGTGCTTCAAAATCAATGAATTGTAAATGGCTCTTGTGACGGGTTCAGTCACAGAGACCCCCTTGGGACTGTCACCTGATGTGCTGAGACTACCTCTGAGCCCATTTTCTCTGCCAGTTTGGGCCTCCAGAACCCTGTCTTGTTGAGCCAGATACGCTAATCTGCTTGTCTCTAGCACCCACACACCCAGCTCCCAATGGGATCCAAACCCCAAATAAATCCGTTTTTACTCTGTATAAAGCTTATACAGGGTAAACTCATAAATTGCCCGCCCTCTATAACACTGATAGAGAGATACGCACAGCTGTTTGCTCCCCCAAGTATTAATCACTTACTCTGGGTTCATTAATAAACAAAAGTGATTTCATTAAGTATACAAAGTAGGATTTAAGTGGTTTCAAGTAATAGCCAGAACAAAGTATGTCACTTAGCAAAATAAAGCAAAAACACGCAAGTCTAAGCCTAATACATTAAGAAACTGATTACAGGTAATATCTCACCCTCAGAAATGTTCCAATAAGCGTCTTTCACAGACCAGACTCCTTCCTAGTCTGGGCCCAATCATGTCCCCTGGTACAGTCCTTGTTAGTTCCAGCAGACATATCAGGTAGTAAGAAGGGGCTTTCTCATGATTGGCAGCCTCTTTGTCCTGCTCCACCCCCTTTTATAACTTTGGCACAAGGTAGGACTCTTTTGTCTCTCTGGGGCCCCACCCCCTCTTCTAAATGGAAAAGTACCAGATTTAAAATGGATTCTAGTATCATGTGACATGGTCACATGTCCTGTGAGACACCAGCCTCCATTCTTCCTGGGCTGGCCCACATGTACACAGGAAGGTTTGCAAGTAAACGGAGCTGTGAAGTTATTGACATGAACTTTGACTGTATAGATCATTGTTACAATCAAGGTCCTATAGTTGCACCAAATCTTGTACAAAGAAGGTCAAGTAAGGTGTCTATGGAAAGGTTGTAATTTGCTAGTTATGATTATACTGTTTGCATGTGTGTATCATTTTGTATTTGAAGTTATGAATATTGGCAATGTACTTGTATCTCAATGTGTTTGTGTCTAAGTAGCCTCAGTGAAGCATTTGGTCAGCTTCTTGAGAAAGGACTAGTCTGAGTAAGTGCCCAATCAAGAAACACTTAACTGACAATGGGAGACACCAATCCACATTTGAGCTTCCCTTGGAACATTCAAACTAACATGTAAACAATGGCGTTGGCCTGCAAAAAGCTGAATCATTCATGGACATGTGATTTGTCCAGGTAGCTACAAACTCCATCTTGTTGCTGTGATTTTTCACAGAAGAACAAAGGGGTTTCCGCCCACAAGAGAGAGAATATAAAAGGCCCTGGAAGCCTCTCCATTGTGTCTTCAGCTGGCTCAAGAGATGGCATCTCCACCCCAAAGAGATGCCTGAAAGAAACTGGAACAAAGGACAGTAACTATGGGGGTGTGAGTGATTGCTGGACCCAGGCCATAAACTACAACATTGGTCTGAAAAGGATTGGGCCCAGACTAGGAAGAACTGGGTGTCTGGGTGCTGGAGAGGTAACCTGCTGAGCTGTTTTTCGTTAAAGTCTGCAGCTTTGTCGGCATGGCCCAGACCCTCCGTCTGTGTTGCAGCAGGTTAGTGTGTCTAGCTCAACAAGGGAGGGTTCTGGAGTCTTAAACTGGCAGGGAAAATGGGCTCAGAGGTAATTTCAGCATGTCAGGTGACAGGCCCAAGGGGATCTCTGTGACTGAACCCATCACACCCACCACAACTGATTTTAAGTACTGATTGAGTATTTAAAATAACAAAGAGGTTCTGAATGAAGCCTGTTTAGTTCTAGTATTTGAACAGTGGGGAGAAACATGCTAAACCACTCTAGTGAAGAACCCCTAGAAAGAGTTTGCAGCATCCTAACTGAGCTATCTGTCCCCATCCCCTCTTACTTCCACAGGGCTCTGGCATTCAAGCCCCTGGCTTAGCGAGGTTCTTTCAACTGAATGTGACCCCTCATTTGGGACCGGTTAAGCACAGTCCTGCTTCCCTGAATTCCTACAATTATTACAACATTGGTAACTATATTTCACTACCCCTGCATTCAGTACTAAGGTGATTTGTAACCCAACACCAGCCAAAGTTGATCACTTTGACACCGCTCTATCTGCTGAATATCTAAGCAGAGCAGGAGCAAACTCTATTTACATAAACACACACAAAGTCTCTCCCTCTCCAACCTAGGTGCCAGGGGAGCATTCATTCAGACCCTGCTTACAAATAGGGCACCTTTCATCCAGCTAGCTTTGAGTAAGAACATTCCCCAGGCCATAGCTCATCCTGATTCTTGCTCACGTGTGCAGGACTAAATTGACCAATTGCCTGGAATCAGTTTTGCTCTGTTCTGGAGCATCAGAGCTTCTTTTTAGGGTCATTTGACTAAAGGCAATGGGGATGTAAGTGGCCTTCAGTCCTTCCAGGCTGTTTCTATTGGGTTGTTCCTAGCTGAAAGCTCAAGACAGAGAGGTTAAATTTATGGCCTTTTACTAACTCTTTCCAAGTGGGTTAAATTTTATAGTGGTAGAAAAATGAACACTGGCTTGTCTTTCCCCTCTGCAGATGTGCATGTAACTCCTGTTGGTATGAGATTTATGGGCTGCTGGAAAGAGATAAGCACCATGGGCTCCATTCCCCTTAAAAAGGTTAAAAGGTATCATCAGAAATTATCCTCAGTTTTTAAAAGCCTTCCTGATATTTCAAAGTGGCTTTCAGGTGGTTCCCTGCTCTACAGCATGTTCTTCAGCCAGCAGCCACTCCAGGATCACTTCCAACAGCTGGGCATAACACAATGAGTAACGGTATCAAATCACTGAATGGAGAACTGCCAGGAGCTGTGCGTTGTGTATTTTGGGTTCCCATCAAGAGCATTGCCAGGTTCTTGGGATTTATAGTTCTTATAATTCCCCCATGCTCAGATGTGAGGCAAAGGGAGAGTTGGCAGCTGGAGCCTAGTATGGGAATGTGGGGTTAGAAGGGAGTGTGGGGACACTAGGGTGACAACACATATTTCTCATGTCAACCACTGTGGAAGGAGATGGCTCTGGTTGAGTTCCCCCTCTCCCCCCCCTCCCCAAGTCCTCATTCTTGTGTTGTGCTTCATATTCCACTTCCATTCACATTGGGTTTTATCTAATGGAAGAAAATACTCCACTGCATAACTTCCTGCAACCGTTGTCATGTTCTTCCATCCTAAACCGTCCCTTTCCCCGAGGCACAGGCTATACACGTATGTTGCAAACAAATGTTGGTTATTTATTATACACAGATTTCTTCAGCACATCATCAGATTGGAATTTTGTGATTACGACTATTTCAATCAGCAAAATAGCTTCCCTTCCCCCAGCACAGGGTTAGTCTGTTGTCCACGGCTCTTCAGGTTAGTTGTTTGCCATAACCTGCAGAAAGTGTAAAGCAAAGGGGAGTAAATCAGACCACAAAACTAAGGAAATCTGTAAAACAGGGACATTCAAACTCTACAAATTGTTCCTTTAAATAGTTGTTAAATATTTGATAAGAACGTTATAGCCATGAGCAGTATGTGTTACTGATCACCACAGTCATAGATGATAGATAATTAAGTTGTTGGACATCAATTAACATTTATGAAAACTCTATAAATATACCCTTAATATAAAATGTGACAGATTTATTCCAAAACGTCCAAACTTTGGTTAGCAATGAAGATCATTTGGATAGTTGCATTCAACAGGAAGACACCTCACCTTCGCTGAAGGAATTAATTCCCTAGAAACAAGACAACATTCTCCTTTGTTGTGTTAAGGGATTGTGTATGCGGTGAAGTTATTATGGAATAAGTTTGGGTGTGAATTTAAAGACACATAGACAAACCAACGGTCTTGAACTCTTTTGCAGGTGTTTTGTTTTGTTTAGTTTTGTTTTACCCTGAATGACCATTTAGAAGTTCACAGCCCAGTTTGTTCTTGCTCAACAGCAGACACTAGACCAGGGTGGGCAAATTTTTTAGCCCGAGGGCCACATCTGGGTACGGATGCAGCCCTCGGGCAGTAGTTTGCCCACCCCTTCAATAGACCCTTACCGTATTGATCCAGTTGTTGAAAGCAGAGACCCGAGTGAAGACGGAGGGTTTCTGGTAATAATTACAGCTTAGTGCGGAGCCAAAGCTGACTACGCCATGCACTTCCCACCTGCCATCAGCACCTCTGCAGTTCAGTGGGCCACCGGAGTCCCCCTGCAAGGAAGGAGAGGCACAGTCATTGAACGCCAGTTTGGAAAAAGCCATATCTTTCTATGGTGCATGAGAAGAGAAGTCACTGCCACGGGTCTCGTATAATTGGAGATGGGACATGGGAGAAAGGCAAGAGTGTGAAGGAAATGAATATAGGTTCTGTCTTATGAGATGGTTCTCAGCTGCCATGTTCAGGTCCAACATGCAGGGGGTATTTGGATCCAGGTGTTTGGGGTGGGTCCCTCTTGTAGGTGAGAGTATAGAAATGTGATTATTAAATTGTCCTTCAACACGTTAATTGCTATCAACCTCTACAAAGGGGTTCCAAAGCCCATCTAGAATGGGTAGATCCTAGTACCCTGCCCCATCTTCAGAGTCCCTTCCCATAATGCAGAACTCGCTAAAGCCACGCCCATAACTGCCCAATTCTCCAGACTCACGTTGCAGCTGGAGATCACCCCGTCGCCGCCTGCACAGATCATAGTGGGTTTCACTATGCTGCCCCACCAGCTAGGCAGGGAACAGGTGGCGTAATCCACCACGACCAAGGGCCCTTGCTGCAGTATATCTGGGAGAGCGCCGTTTGCTGGGAGGGAACAGAAACAAGGGAGTAGCATTAGCTCCTGGCAGTGAAGAAACAGCAAATAACATGTTCAGGTACAAGAGTCAACAGGGAATCGAAGCACAGAGGGGTTGCAGAATCCAGTCCTTAATGCAGCCCTGCTTCAGAAAAGTGTCTGAACTAGATGGATAATCCTCGTCCATCTTAACAATGGCTCTCTGTCAATATCGCATGGGAAATCAGCTGGTGGCCTAGCACCTTAACGTTCACATATCAACACCCTACTGGCGTTAGCGTCGGCAACCAGGCCAAGGAAGGAATAGGCCAGGATCGCTGCTCTGTGCCCTCCCCTCTCTAGGTGATGCATCCTGCTCAGGATTGAAGCAGAAGGCTGTTGCCTGCATTGTGCCCGCTCTCCGCATGGGGACTTCCCTGTTCCAGGCTGGCTGTCCATCACTAACCATCACTTCTTTAAAGCGTCTTTTCAACTCTTCCATGAGCACTAACAGCCCCACCAGTCTTCAGACCACTCTGACTCGGGTTACAATTGCATCTCGAGGCCTCAGTTTGGGTCCTAACAAAAGCTAAACATTCTGCATGGAAAATGCAAGAACATCTCTGCTGCAGGAGTGGAGCCAGAGCCTGGTCAGATCTCTCTCTGAATTGAGGGCTAAGGGGCACCGGAAAAAAGAACCTTATTCCAGTCAATCCCAAAGGAGACGTTAACACAGACGGACTTAGTGTTCCCACTGAACTATATTAACACTTACTCTGCAGCCTTCCCCATCCTGTTACGTAGCAGACGACGCCAGAGGCCAGGAGACTGTTTGCTGGGGGGAGGCAGGCCGGCTGGATTTGATTGCTCAGGGCAACGCTCTGGGAGAGTTTGATCAAAGCAATGTCGTTGCTGTGCACAAGCCGGGGGGGAGGGAGCGCGCACAGAGGGAGAGTGGAGGAAAACACAGACCCATTAATACACAGCATTTATAGAGGGCTCTGTCTATTCAAAAGAGGGACCCCTGCCTTTAGGGGAAGGAATGGCCTCAGGCCATGACAGAGGCATCCCACCCCTTGGTGTTGCCCATACCACACCCAAACGCGTGCCTCGGTGCCCATAGGCCCTGGTGTAACACCTTGATTTTCCTTCCCCATGGCCCAAAAGCCATGTGGAAATCCAAGCCCCAGCATCTGCAGCTCCTCTGCCCACACGGGGCCCAGTTTGAGAGGCTTGGCCTGTCTCTGTCAAGCTTTGGGGTAAACACGGCCTGTGACTGTGAGAGCTTCTGGAGAATATATAGAGAGGCTCCTGGAACTTCAGAGTTGTCCAGGTTCCCTGATTTAAAGCACTCGTTTCCATTCAGCTCCCTGTGGTGGGCGGGCGTCTCCCTACAGAGCTGCCCATGCTGTTACCGACTCATCCTTCTACTCAGAGACTCCCAGGAAATGGCCTTTCAGCCAGAGGCTTCCTCCTCAGGCTGGGGCAGGTGGTCTGTCGGGGCCGAGGGAGTGAGACCTTTGCGTTCAAGAGGCATACCCCCTCCTCCTACAGTCAGTGCTGCCCATATTCCACCTCAAACTCATGCCGTAATGCCCCCTGGCCCTGTTGGAGCACCAGAAATGTCCTTGTGTGAGGTAACTGAGGCCTGTGAGGTCTTTATGTTTCAGTTTATTGCCGAATCAGCATCCAAACATACAAAGCATCCAAGCATCCAAACATCTGTTGTGTGTGAGCATCAATGATTCCATAATAGCTATTTGTTTTCCTTTTTACCACTCGGGGTTTGCCGAATCCCTTCCCTCACAGTAGGGCAGTGTGCTGTGCCTTTTCTCTCCAGACAAGGCAGCATTTAAGTAATTTTTCAAGCCTTCCTGAGCCTCAGTAAACATCATTATATTGTGCCCGGAAACTGCTAGACTGAGGTGTAATAAACAAGTGGAATCTAAAAGTTTGGGCTGCAGTTGGACACAGTCTAGCTCTGTTTAATGGGGTTCAGCCCTACATTTGGTAGATAACACAAGGTAGCAGGTTTCTCAGCTCCTTGGTGTTAAGGCCCCAAAGGGAGGGGGCTCGACCCTGGGCAGTTATCATAATATCACAAGGCCATTCTATTAATCCATCGTACACCCACACTTGAATTCTGCGTGCGGTTCTGGTCACCCCATCTCAAAACAGATAGATTAGCATTGGAAAAGGCACAGGGAAGGGCAACAAAATGATTAGGGGTCTGGAACAGCTTCTGTATGAGGAGAGATTAAAAAGACTGGGACTTTTCAGCTTGGAAAAGAGACGACTAAGAGGGGATATGATAGAGGTTTATGAAATCATGACTGGTGTGGAAACAGTGAATAAGGAAGTGTTATTTACTCCTTCTCAGAACACAAGAACTAGGGGTAATTGATAGGCAGCAGGTTTAAAACAAACATAAGGAAGTACTTCTTCACACAACACAAAATCAGGTATTGTGAAGGTCAAAACTAATGGGGCTAAAAAAACAACTAGGTAAGTTCCTGGAGGACAGGTCCATCGATGGCTATTAGCCAAGATGGCCAGGACGCAGCCCCGTGCTCTGGGTGTCCCAAAGCCTCTGACTGTCACTCAATGAATGACCTGTTCTGTTCATTCCCTCAGAGGCATCTGGCATTGGCCACTGTCTGACGACAAGATACTGGACTAGATAGACCATTGGTCTGATGCAGTATGGCCATTCTTATGTCCTAGTTCTTGTACTACTGCCTTGGGAAGCCGGTGGGGACGCAACGCGCAGAAAGTTGTAAACTGAGCTGATTAGCGGAGCTAATGCACTAGGACTTCAGCAGAACCAAGGAGTCCTTCAGCAACATGGCATCAATCCAAGTTACTAATACACCTCTACCCCGATAGAACGCTGTCCTCGGGAGCCAAAAAAATCTTACTGCGTTATAGGTGAAACCGCGTTATATCGAACTTGCTTTGATTCGCCAGAGTGCGCAGCCCCCCCCCCGCCCGGAGTGCTGCTTTACCGCATTATATCCCAATTCATGTTATATCGGGTCGCGTTATATCGGGGTAGAGGTGTCATACTTTGCACTTCTAGTAGCACCTTTCATCTGAGGATTTCAAAGAACTTTACGTACATTAGTTGAACCTTTCCACACACCTGTCTGGTGAGAGCTCTCTTCACCCACTGCTAAGATGCAGGAGACAGTGTTGGGTCGAGCAAGGCAGCTGTTAAGCAATGCACAGCTGAGCTACGCAGCAGTTTAGAGCCATTGAATTGAATTCAGTTGTAATAGCTGGAATTTGGCTAGGACACGGGGGTTAATTCACTTGTACTCTTACAAAAACTGCTGTGGACTCTTTAACAGCCACAAGTGGTCAGCATCTCAGGTGAACGTGCCTGGAAAGTTTCTGAGATAGTGGAGGCTGAAGGCATCACTTCATTATTGGGGAGGTGACTCCTGCACTGGCATCTGTCTCTTTGGGGGTGATGGGTATCTGCTCGCTGAGCCAGCCACGCCCATTTTCCATAATGTGACAAGGGTTTGAACTGGGGAAAGGGTTCACCACTCCCCACATCCAGTCGCCCAGTATTTTGGAATCATCAGTATGAACCTTTGCCGGTGGTTCACAAACTTTTTACCTCGCACCCCCCCTTACTCCAGTCCGCGCCCCCTCTCCCCCAGGCTGGAGTCAGGGACACAGCTCTGGGTGGGGGGGGATGTGGACAGGGGTAAGGGGGCCAAGGCTGGGGACCATAACGGGGGTGGGGCTGGGAGTGGGGCCCTGGGTGCGGGGCCAACAGTTGGGGCTGGGGCCAGGAGTGGCACTGGGTGGCAGTCCCTCCCCACCCCTCATGGGCCCCAGCTGTGCCCCCCAGAATGTTCCTCCACTCACAGTTTGTGGACCTCCGGCCTATGCTGTAAGAACTGGCTCCAGATTTGGAGCTGCCCATGGAGCAGGGGTGTTTGGTTTGGGGCCCTATCTCTCATAGTTCATACAAATAGCTGCTATAAACTTACCCGTCTGCGACACTCTTTGGGTTCCAGCCCTCATGGACAATGATTTTTTGTGGACTGACTGCAATCGATCCTTCTTCAGCAAGCCTTAGGTTGTGTTTGCCAAGAAACACTAGATAGGTCAGAGAAGAGCTGGGGAGGAAAAGGAACAGGGAGAGATGCTCAGATATGTAGCTCCCGGCTTGCTGCGCAGTCACATGCCTCTTTGGGAAGGGCGGCCAAATGCAGCCTAGGGGTCTGCAGTGGGAACCCTCTGAAAACTGCAGGTGCCAGCATGCACTGATCTATAGTAACAGCTGTTGGCTTAGGATGGAGCATTGCATGCTGGAACCTATAGTCACTAGAGGCTGCACCTCCACATGGTCCTCTGCCTCCTGCCAAGATTCCTGCTAAACTTGGGCCCCAGCTGATCTTCAGAGCACGAGGCTGCCATTTCCTGGCACACCTGAGCAATTACGAGGGTCTCTCTGGTAGTGTGACAATGTCTATTACAAAAGCATCTCCACTGGTACATAGATGTGTGTAATAGTATTGTGCACCCTGGCAATCCTACCTCACACACAG